TAGTGCTGTAGCCACGAACTGTGCAGGTTAGGATGTTAAATTCTAAAATAGGATTCCCAACGTTGTAAACGCTCGGCCAGTCTCTCCTCTCCAGTTAAAAAGAGCCTTCCTATTCAAGTGTTTTGGTATAGCATAATGTTTTTCTTTTCAAACCCCTACATATTAAACTTTCATTGTGCTCTTGTCATTATTCGCCTGCTATGAATCCATCTAAATACACGAATCAACCATGCTCCATTTTTATAAAATTGTAGTAGTGATCTACAATCTGAACTCTCTTCAGAGGAAGTCCTTAGAAATCCTACCCTCTCCCAGCTTCCATGTGTGCCCTAGACATTTGAGACTTCGATGACTGAGTATCAATCAATAAAACCTTTGTAAATCATTCTCTTTTAAACACACCTGTGTTTGTGATCTTGTTTTTCCACTCATGCCCCGCCTTTATCATGAGCCTTGTATGTGAAAGTTAGGACGTTTCTCGTGCAACAGTAAGTTGACCATGATATAAAGTCATGAAAGTGTCGAAGAAAGCTCTTGATAGAGATTTTATTCAAATTGTTAACTTTCTGTTCTTTCAGGCTTTGTGTGTGTATGTGTGTATGTGTGTGTGTATGTGTGTGTGTGTGTGTGTGTGTATGTGTGTGTGTATGCGTATTTGTGTGTGTTTAGGGGTAATTTACTCATTGTTAATAATGCCTTATTTAACACAATTTTTGCTTTTACGGTCCAAGAATATATTGGTATTGACTAATGATAACATGTATATGAAAGAATTAACATTCCAGTTCTTTAAAATCAAAACACATTTCGTGTGAATCATTAGCTCTTTGCACTATAATTGTTATCTTCACCTGATGATTGTTAGTCCAAATTTATAAGAAGCAACAGAGAATGCAGATAGTAAATATGCATTTTTCCTCTCAGTAGACCTGCAAATGCAGTGTCACCCCCTTCCCCTTTCCCCCAGAAAAGCTGTTTTAGATACGACTAATACTTGACCTGTCCTTCAATGTCGATGTCTAACGGCTTGTACACGTCCACAGTAGCTCACTTGGTAGCCAGCGGAGTGAAGAAGAGAATGTTAGAAATCCTTGGGTCGCTGTTTAAAAGAGATTGTATAATCTCAGTCTGGACGGCAGAACAACAAAACAGATCCCGGATTAGTTCAACCTAAAAAAAAAAAAAAGTATAATTAGGATAAAGCGAAACTAGCCAGGTGTAACCTGCAGTCCTAAGCCAGTGAGGACAAAAATCTGTTCTCCATAACGTTTCGTTTATTTGCTCCTTTTCTTGTTCTACCACCGCCTTTGGAAGAGCAGTTGCCTGCTTGTGTTGTGGATTACAGCTAGGCATTGATATCCACGACGTTTGACCTGATACATAAAGTAAAAAAAAAAAATCTTTAATTAGTTGCTGCTTACGACATGTTTGTTAATGATAGTGGAGCTATTTTTATTTTCCCTCAAAATGGGGTATTGGATCCAGGACAAAAAGCTGCTCCTATTAGGGCCTATATTTGGTTGTATTATTCCTGCAACATTTGACTTCGTGCTGCGCCTGCCTCTGTTTATTCAAGGATCAAATACAAACACGAGACACTGGGATCATCTTTCTCAATGCTCCAGAATAGAGCAAGCTGCTTATTCACGTCTGGCTATTCGTTAAGTCTGTAAAAGTGATTCTTAACCTGTACGGTACAATCTCCTAGGCAGCGCGAAATACCTAAGATGGGAGAGAGGAGGGCAAAGAAAGTAAAAGTCACAGGGAAACCTGGGGGGTGGAGGGGTAGGGGGGGGGGGGAAACCAACTACTGGCATAAGAATTTCTGAAGAAAGGTGTTTTGAAAGCTGCTTTTAAAAACTGGGGCACACTAAAGAAATTTGAGAGCCCTTACACTATTGCCATTTTTTCCAATTACAGCGTATTTTGATTTAGGCTTGGCTACTTAAGTTGAACTCCTCCGGAATTAGCACATAGGTTATTCCCCCCTACCACTCTATGATTTTATAGCACAGTGATTCCCAAACTGTACGTCGCGGCGCAGTGGGGAGCCGCGACCTCTTCACAGAGGCGCCGCGAAATATTTGAAGATACACGAGTTTTATTTTTTTTCTTCGTTGTATCTTTCACATACGAATGGTCATACCCTTACTTAGGTCAGGGCGTTTGTGAAAAAATTTTATTTGAGGAAAAAATGCACCGTGACTAAGAACAGTTTAAGAAACACTTAAGTACTTTCTGGCAAATAGGCGTTTAGAAGAATGTTGTCAAAAATATACAAACGTTCTTTGGTAATCACTAAGCATGCTCTGGTGGGAATAAAATAAGGGGTAAATAATGATGATGATCGATTCTACGAAACCACTTTGTGGCAAAATAAATATGTATGGTGTTCCTTGTAAGTAGGTCCACGGTGGAGACTAATCAGGGGTCTTCGAAGCTGGAGAAGTGTGGCATCAACATTCCGCTTAGAAACAGTCAAATCGGTAACACGGATGTCCACACTAAACTTGAGTTTTGAAACAGGACCAAAGTCTAGATACAGACTAACAACCATACATTTCCGTCATAGTTTAAAAGCGGTGAACGCAAAGAAGAAGAAAGATGGTGATGTGAGAAACACTAATGATGGTTCAGTGGAATTGTAGAGTCACCGACCATAACTACAAGCCACATCTCACATATATGTGTGCAGAATACTTGTTTACAACTGAAGAGCAGCAGGGAGAAAAATAAATTATTAAAATATGTATGAGGCGAAGAAGATGTCAATGGCAGTAACACAAATTATGACCTTGTAAAACTATAGTCACCCAACATAACCACATAAAACTGGAGAGGGTAAAAAGGAAAGAGCTTATTTGAGCAAAATATGCCGTAGAGTTGAAAGCCTTACCTCTTTCACTCTCTAGATGTACCCCAACAGGACATCACGCAATCGATAAGCACCCGGTGACACAAAGTGCCACCTTGCGGATGAGGATCACCCGTGAAGAGGTCCCAGAAACCCTTTTCAGCCGTTAAGCCATATTTATGGCCCAGCTATATTCAGTGCGCCCGGAAAAAGAAAGGGTGGAGCTTTAAATAATAAAAAATTGCATCCCACACGGGGACGACTGATGCGTCCCAAATAGAGTGGGTTTTTTACAGTCCCAGAAAGAAAGAAAAAATCCGTCTTTTCATCGCATGTAACGTTCAACCCATACCGCCACTCAATGCCTTCTTGGAATACAAAAAAAGCCCTCCGCGAATGATTAAATAAAGGACATCTACACACGGATATGTCTGCAGGGATGTATTTGTGCGTGTGGGTTTATACGTCTGTATGTCACTGGGATGATCTCGTTGGAATTTAGTGCTGTCTTCTGAGTCGACTGTGGTCTGTCTGACATCGAGGTATTCACTTTGAGAGAAGAAACATTTTAATAGAACACAACTCGATATTTCGGATCTCGTTCCATTGGTTCTGAAATCTAGGGGTTCAGGCCCATTGAGTGCCCTCCGGCCCCTCCTAGACCGCCCCTTCCCCACCCCACACTTTGGGGAAACAATTTCTATGCTTCCCTTTAGTTATAAATAGAAGTTCTCTTTTTTCAGTATATATTTATGCGTATCTGTTATTACACTTTATACAATTTCAAATAAACTACAGTACCATAAAGGGTATGATATACAAGTGTGTGTGTGTGTATATATATATATATATATATATATATATATATATATATATATATATATATATATTTATATATACGCAGTTAAAGGCCCTTAGAACTAACCACTCCCCCCCCCCCTCCCGTACATTTGTTAAATGGTTAACACCCCCTTCCCCTTTCCAACCAACCTCCCACAATTTTTTATGTGTGGCCACACCCCTGTCTCGTAAATAGTATTGTAAAACATTTTTGTCCGGCAGAAACGATCACCTTTTCACTCCTGGTTGATATAAATCACAACTACCAATGTTGATGTTATGTACTTTAGAGTTAGCAATAGTCTGAGAGTTTTGCGGGAGTGTGTGTAAATGTGTTCTTTATCCAACATTTAGGGCATTGGCCAACTCAACGTCAGTTTGTTCCCCCTCTACTGATTCGAAATTAGTGTTCTTTCTAATCAGATATAACTCATCTCTGTGTCTTCTCCGCTATTTTATGTATCATTTTCTTCTTTTGTCCAGCGTTCCAGTGTAAGAACTGGATAGTAATGTTCTCAGGTGTCTGGCAGTGTGACCTATCAAGCGTTTGTGTCTTTCGTCACCACTTTTTTCGCTAGAATTTTGTCGGTTCTCTCCTTAGGCTCTGCTTTTACAGCATATATTTTTATTCTGTCGTACTAATTCGTACTGTTCTGTCTATGAAACTGTTCATAGAGTATGTAATTTGTTTCTGTAATTTATTTACGACTGAAAGTTAGATTATGTGTATAAAAACTACCATGTGTCCGTAAAGTCATGGTGGACTTTTGACCGGTCACAGAATATCAACAAAACCAGATAGAAATGTGAAATCTCCACCACATGAAAAGAAAATTCTCCAGGTTACGCTTGCACATCAATTTAGGAAACTTGTGAGTTTTCCTTTTTTGTGGTGAAGATTGCACATTTCTACCTTCTTTTGTTGCTTCCCGGTCAAAAGTGAACAGTGACTTTACGAACACATTGTATTAGCAACACCAATAACGGTATGTCATAATGATTATATGTGAGCGTGTAATAGTGGATAAAAAGAGAGGAACGCTGGTGGCAGTTGTAGTCATAATGATGTTGATGATGATAATGATGAGGATGAGAATGAGGAATAGATGGAGGAGGACGAGGGTATAACGAGGGTGTAACGAGGGTGTGGCAAATAATATTAGTAGGGAAAGATTTGGCAGATATGCAGTTATGGAAAAAGATCAAAGGCAAAAGATAACTACCCATGCCTTGATGGTTCAGCATTATCTGAACAAGAAAATACACCTTATCCGATTCATTGCCACGAGGTATATCAAACACTGACCCATCAACCGGATGCATGAAGACATTTAGCATTCTTTGAATCACATACTGCATATGTAGACTAAATAGCTTGATACGACTAAACTCATTTCTACAGCATACGTTATCTGCGCCATTCGTTTATGAGCACCTTCTAATTTTTTCTTTTCCTGTTTATCTCCACTTTCAGATTTCGTCTCAAATGTTATATTTTTTTTCCAGTTTTATCATTCACAGTTCCTTCCTACTGTTAAATTTTAAGCTTCTCCGACGCTTTAAACGTTCAATGTACTCGTGCTCTCTTTTCGTCCAATTGTATCCGTTTTATCAATTCTTTTTAAATTTCACCTTCTTCTGCTTTCTTTTCTCTTGCGCGATTCTCCTCCACTTTTCCCGTTCACTTTCGTCTTGCAAGCTTTCCTCGCCCCCCCCCCCTCCCCCGGCTCTTTTTTCTCTTTTTCCCACAGCATCCTCAATTCCCTTCTTCTCTTCTTCCCTCCACTTTCTCCTTACACACTTCCCCCTCCAATTTTCCTCCGTTTTTTCCCTTTATTATCCTCTTGCGTACATCTCTACTTTTTCTTCTCTATCTTTTTCCATCTACGTTCTTTCTCTCCCTTCTTTCTGCATGCCTCACCTCCACTTTCCTCCAACACTTTTCCTCCCACCTGTCATCATATCCACTCATTACCACAAAACTATCTGTGTCTACATGCTCGATTTACCGCAGATGACATATTTTTAATATACTCGACCTATTTTGGTGTCAGTTAGAAAGTTAGAAAGCCGAATTTTAATGCTGATATTGTTTTATTAATTGCCTATGCATCAATTTCGCCACTCCCAGTGACACAGTTTTAAGAAACGCCTTTTTAAGTCATTTGATATTCTGATTAATCGGTTATAGCACAATTTCCTTTTTTTTTTTTTTTTTTTGTATTCAGAAATCGACACTTGGTAATACTGACACTATCAAATGGATCGCATTTGTTTCCACACTAATTCATGGTATCCGTTTAAGACTAGTTCGACATCGGAGCCCTGGTTAAAAAAAATTTTAACAAGTTACTAAAGTGGATTCTTCGTCTTCTTAATCTTCTTTTCACTGGCTGTAAACTCCGGTGAAAAATTCTGGTTGTTCACATACTTCTGGACTCTGGTGTTGTTACAGAACTTGAGTTATGCGTGCACTTTCATTCTGCAGATCTGGGTTGTTTTTGTATGCAGACTATCGGTTCCTTGCCTCGGGCACATGCACATGACTTTAAAGGAAAAACCCCTAATTAATCGCCTTTTACGACATACTGTGTTTCTGCTATCTTTCTCTCCCCCCTTCCCCCTCCCCCCTCCTCTAACAAAAATAGGGTTCCGAATTCACATGGAGACCACAGTGGTTTCGAAAGTATTACTATGAGGTTTATAGATGAATGTGCTAGCCACTCCGCCGCCATGGCTTTTTCGCCATAGTTCTTATCATAGCTTAGATGTTGAACTGTGAGAAGCTGTGACATATTAAGTACTGTCACTTCCATTATTCATATTGTCTTGTTTGTTTCCACCTCACAGCAATCATGATATGAATAATCATGATAAGACCTGGCGTGGATGAACATTCTCCTCTAGATGTTCTTAGAAATGTCGCGACGTCCAATAGAATGTATCAAGTCATGTATTTTTTTGTCAATGCATTATGCAATTTTGGTCAAGAAAATTCCCTTGTAGTCTCCGTCTACTAAGACTCAGAGTCACAGCCGTGTCATGTTGGTCATCTTCTCTGTCCAGAGTCACGTGACCATCATGGCGGATACAGAGGTAGCTCCGTAAAGTAAAGGACCCTTGTCCACACCACCAGGCATATTTGGCATACAGTGCTAGACCTATATGTTGGACGTATAGTGCTAGATCTATGTGTTGGACGTATAGTGCTAGACCTATATGTTGGACGTATGGTGCTAGACCTATATGTTGGACGTATAGTGCTAGATCTATGTGTTGGACGTATAGTGCTAGATCTATGTGTTGGACGTATAGTGCTAGATCTATGTGTTGGACGTATAGTGCTAGATCTATGTGTTGGACGTATAGTGCTAGACCTATATGTTGGACGTATAGTGCTAGATCTATGTGTTGGACGTATAGTGCTAGATCTATGTGTTGGACGTATGGTGCTAGACCTATATGTTGGACGTATGGTGCTAGATCTATATGTTGGACGTATAGTGCTAGACCTATGTGTTGGACGTATGGTGCTAGACCTATATGTTGGACGTATGGTGCTAGATCTATATGTTGGACGTATAGTGCTAGACCTATGTGTTGGACGTATGGTGCTAGACCTATATGTTGGACGTATAGTGCTAGACCTATATGTTGAACGTATAGTGCTAGACCCATATGTTGGACGTATAGTGCTAGACCCATATGTTGAACGTATAGTGCTAGACCTATATGTTGGACGTATGGTGCTAGATCTATGTGTTGGACGTATAGTGCTAGACCTATATGTTGGACGTATAGTGCTAGATCTATGTGTTGGACGTATAGTGCTAGACCTATGTGTTGGACGTATAGTGCTAGACCTATGTGTTGGACATATAGTGCTAGACCTATATGTTGGACATATAGTGCTAGATCTATCTGTTGGACATATAGTGCTAGACCTATGTGTTGGACGTATAGTGCTAGACCTATATGTTGGACGTATAATGCTAGACCTATATGTTGGACGTATGGTGCTAGACCAACCGTCACTCAGTAGGTTATGTGTTAACATCACGCCTGCCACCTTTACTTTTCATGACTTCCCCTTTCATCCTGTCTAGGTTGTGTCGATTTAGAAAAAAAAATTCGGCTCGGTTCAGATCTGAGCCCAAGACCTTTCGACCCGCTTGTGAGAGTCCAATAGAATGTATCAAGTCATGTATTTTTTTGTCAATGCATTATGCAATTTTGGTCAAGAAAATTCCCTTGTAGTCTCCGTCTACTAAGACTCAGAGTCACAGCCGTGTCATGTTGGTCATCTTCTCTGTCCAGAGTCACGTGACCATCATGGCGGATACAGAGGTAGCTCCGTAAAGTAAAGGACCCTTGTCCACACCACCAGGCATATTTGGCATACAGTGCTAGACCTATATGTTGGACGTATAGTGCTAGATCTATGTGTTGGACGTATAGTGCTAGACCTATATGTTGGACGTATGGTGCTAGACCTATATGTTGGACGTATAGTGCTAGATCTATGTGTTGGACGTATAGTGCTAGATCTATGTGTTGGACGTATAGTGCTAGATCTATGTGTTGGACGTATAGTGCTAGATCTATGTGTTGGACGTATAGTGCTAGACCTATATGTTGGACGTATAGTGCTAGATCTATGTGTTGGACGTATAGTGCTAGATCTATGTGTTGGACGTATGGTGCTAGACCTATATGTTGGACGTATGGTGCTAGATCTATATGTTGGACGTATAGTGCTAGACCTATGTGTTGGACGTATGGTGCTAGACCTATATGTTGGACGTATGGTGCTAGATCTATATGTTGGACGTATAGTGCTAGACCTATGTGTTGGACGTATGGTGCTAGACCTATATGTTGGACGTATAGTGCTAGACCTATATGTTGAACGTATAGTGCTAGACCCATATGTTGGACGTATAGTGCTAGACCCATATGTTGAACGTATAGTGCTAGACCTATATGTTGGACGTATGGTGCTAGATCTATGTGTTGGACGTATAGTGCTAGACCTATATGTTGGACGTATAGTGCTAGATCTATGTGTTGGACGTATAGTGCTAGACCTATGTGTTGGACGTATAGTGCTAGACCTATGTGTTGGACATATAGTGCTAGACCTATATGTTGGACATATAGTGCTAGATCTATCTGTTGGACATATAGTGCTAGACCTATGTGTTGGACGTATAGTGCTAGACCTATATGTTGGACGTATAATGCTAGACCTATATGTTGGACGTATGGTGCTAGACCAACCGTCACTCAGTAGGTTATGTGTTAACATCACGCCTGCCACCTTTACTTTTCATGACTTCCCCTTTCATCCTGTCTAGGTTGTGTCGATTTAGAAAAAAAAATTCGGCTCGGTTCAGATCTGAGCCCAAGACCTTTCGACCCGCTTGTGAGAGTCTAGTCGCTGCACCATGGTGCCTCCCAGATAATTCCTTTCCGTGATTCTAAACATCAAAAAAAAAAAAGAACCAAAAAAAAAAAACAGTTTTATGCCTCGCTTGTGTTGAGATCTTCTGTTTCAATAATCAACTCCAGTTTTGCTCTTCTCCTAACCGAGTAAGTAAGTGAGTGACCTTCAACCCCATCAGCACCGCACAACGAGTGTCAAACACTGACGGGCACAAAGTGCCACCACTGGGATGCGAATCCTCCAAGCGCAAGTCCCATAAACCTCGTTCAACCATCAGGTTATCAATGGACCCCCGAAGACAGCTGGCGTGGGGCTTTGAAATAACAACAAGTTACGTCCCACATTCGCACAGATCACTTGTATGCATCCTAACCTGGGCAAAGAATATGATGTTTTCTAATCCGGGTAATCGTTTTTCGTTACTAGTTTATGAAATACAAAATCTTTGTGGCGTCCATGTTACTTCTCATGGTAGCTTAAAAGGTTTACCAGTTTTCAAAAATTAAAAACTTTCTTGACGAAAACACAAGAAAGATATTCTATATTTCTCACATCCAGACATATATAGACTATTGCTCTACAATATGGAATGGTTGTTCAAGCTGTTATCAAGAGGCTCACGTCACTGCAAAAACGCGCTATTCGCTTAATAAGTAATAATCATAGGACAGTGAGTTTCGAAACGTATAAAGGTCTTATGCTACTACCGCTTCGTGAACTTCTACTTTTCAATAAGGCGAAATTTATGCACAAAATATTATCCCAAAAAGCTCCACGTTACTTATGGCCGTTGTTTAAATATAATGGAAGGCACAGTAAACGCCTAAACATATTACACCAAATTAGGCCTTATCAAATCAAGTTTAGCGTACTCCGCAGCTTAGCTGTGGAATTGTCTTCCACAACAGATCAAAAATGCTACTAGTCCCTATAGGTACAATAGAAAACTGTTTGAATATTATTTGAGCACAGATTACATGCCCCCATGGAGGACTAAGAGAAAAATATTTTTGAAATAGCGCCTTTTTCCATAGATTTATAACAACCACTACGATATGTTGTAGTTAGAAATGTAGACATTTCAGTGCTTGTGCCTAATGTTTTGATGCTTTTTAAAATGTTTTATTACTTGATGTGTGAATGAAATGATGTAAGAATGGAGGGAGACCTCGAAGGGCAGAATGTAAGACGGGCCTGCGTGCCCAATTCTTAACCCTTTAAAAACAAAGTTTGTTCTTTCGTTCATTTAATAAAAGCTGATTGTCAGTCAATAACTTCCTTAAATTATGACTGACTTTATTGACCATTTAGAAGTTCGTGTCAGTGTCAGTTGACAAGGACATATTATAGAGCATATTCTTCACACTCGACATGATGTTTGTGTTTTTCTGACAGTAATTTAATATCTTTAGTCATCTGTCAGCGGTTGATTGCGATACTTAAACACATTGAATAGCTTCAGACTAGATTCATATACTTTACCGTTGCAGTGTGGAGACCCTTTTCTTCTGGATAATTACGACTGTTGTTCCATTAATTATTAAACCAGCCATTTGTTTTGACCGTAATTTATAATCATATCTAATTAGTCCAGTAATTGAACTTTATTATCAGGCATATCTAAAACAGCACTTTGGGAACTATAAACCTCTTTTAACTACAGTGTAAAATCAAAAAATAAAATGGTATTGACATGTAATAAGATCTAACGACCTCTCAAAAAGAATACTGCAAGGCTCAGTAGAGGGAAAGAGGAGAAGGGGCAGACCAAGAAATACCTGGTTACAGAACCTGACTGACTGGACAGGCCTCAGGCATGCAACCATGAAGTCCATCACAACTGACCGCCAGAGATGGAGAGAGCTGATCAGACAGTCAACAGAAACTAGTGATCCAACAACATGTAGTGATACGGGATGATGATGATGATGATGATATCTTAAATTGTTTACAATATGCCAGCCAACTGACATCCCTGGTACGTCTAGTATAGATTTCATTATTTTTCGACCTCGTATATAGATCTGGTGATAACAGTTCTGTCAAACTCTTTTGTTTCAATTCATATGCACTGAGAGATTCCCATTTGAATGTTTCTTCTTTCTGGTTTTGTTTTCCTCTCTCCCCTCTCTGCTTTCTCTCTCTCCCTCACACACACAGACACCCACACCCACACACCCACACACACACATATATGCTTAAGTATTAGTCATCTTCGAGGTATAATGTATGGGATTCTCCATTACACATATCAATATATTCGCCCAACGACACACAAGTAAAAGACATCCTTGAACATGGGAAGCAACTGTGCGGCAATTTAGAAAATGCCCCTTTAAAGTGACCGGCGCTCAACCTTAATGGAACTTATTTAGCATCAAGCGCGTGCTCCGTGTTTGAGGACGATTTCAGGGTAAAGAATGTAATCAGCAATTCGGCAGGGCAAAGAAGGAAAATGAGACGGGAGGGAGACACCAGGGCATTCTGTGACGAGCATGTAAAAAGTTGTACAAGGAGGTGGTTAATGGAATATTTTAGGATGAAAAAGAAAAAGGCCGGCGGGAAATGGCGATGATTAGACAGAAGGTCGTTGGGCGCGGAAAGATCTGGGACAAAACATGAGTCATAGAAATGTCAAGATTGTCTACTTTCTTGGGGCAGTTATTTGTATGTTATGAAGCTATTGGGTGACAGTTGTCATGTGAAATGTGAATATGATTCTGGAAATCACATCATGTTTTAGTAATTTGAACTGTACTTACAGGACCTTTTTTCTGTGCCATTATTTATGTGGATTACAGTAAAGGATTATTTTCAATACCTTAATACTTTTGGGCATATAGGGTTAAATCTAATTTTAAAGACCAGTAGGCAATGGGTGGGTGATGTGGTCAACTTCATGCCGGTCACCTTTACTTCCCAAAATTTTAACTGGTACCCATTTAAGGCTCTGTTAACCTGGACGCCTAAGTAATTTTTGACCTGAACCCATGACTTTCGGATCTGTAGGCGAGCGTCTGTAACAGGACGCTGACTGACTGACTGACTTTCTACCCCACCAGGACATCACACAAGCGATAAACACCCGATGACACAATGTGCCACCATGTGGATGAGGATCACCGTGGAGAGGTCCCAGAAACCGCATTCAGCCTTTAGGCCATATTTATGGCCAGGCTATATTGCGGCCCCTGGCAAAGCGAGAGTAGGGCTTCAAATAATAAAAAATTTCATCCTTAAAAGGACGGGAAGTAAGACACACGACGCTACTGTCGCATACCTTTGTTAGGGTTTCCTTTATTTTTGAACAACGGATCAACATCATGGCATACACGGGTAGTAACCCATAAGTGCCCCGTTCTACTTCTAACTAAAGTCTGAGTTCGAAGAAGCTCAGCACAGTGCACAAGCTCTGTAGCACCAGCGAGTATCCTGAAATACTTT